TGTCTTGAAGAAGATCTAGTCTAATATTCTGTGCTGTCATCATGATGAAGAGGCGTCAGTGGTTATCAGAGATGAGTTATTAACACTGTTATGGTCAGAGATGTGCTGGACACACGACACTGTTCTCTATATCCTGTAGACAGCAGATCTCCCAGCTGGAGGCTCCTGCAGGTGTGTGTGTGGCTGACTCTGCTCCGCTCCGTCTCCATATGATCTAACACACACTGTTGAGCTTCTGGCAGTCACACGTCACACTCTTACACTCGTCATGTGAGGAGGGATCATGTGTGATTAGAGCAGAGTTTACATCACTCTCACACTGTCCAGAATAAGAACACACACACACACACACACACACACACATGTGTGTACCTTGAGTCCGAGGTTGAGTTCTCGGAGCGAGCGCTTGATCTCCTGTGTGAGTGTGTTCATGCGTTCACACTCCTGTAGCGCCACCACCACATACGGGCTGCGCTCCTCCACCTTCGCCATCAGCTCCGACATGTTGAACTCTTCCGGAAGCTTCTCCAGAATCTCATCCAGCGCTGCTTTCACCTGCACACACACACACACGCACACACACACACACACACACACACACACACACATACACATACACACAGTGAGTGAGTCTCTACACGTGTGCGCTGCATGGTGTGTGTCAGTAAAGCAGCTGCAGTTTTCATTGGTCACGAGTGGAGCTGCAGCAGTGCTATTAATGCACCCTAACCCCGCCCCTCACAGTGATGTCAGCAGCTCCTCTCGGTGTGTGTGTGTGATGAAGATGATGATGACGGTGGTGTGTGTGTGTGTGTGTGTGTGTGATGAAGATGATGGTGGTGTGTGTGTGTGTGTGTGTGTGATGAAGATGATGGTGGTGTGTGTGTGTGTGTGTGTGTATGATGAAGATGATGGTGGTGTGTGTGTGTGTGTGTGTGTGTGTGTGATGATGATGATGATGATGACGGTGGTGTGTGTGTGTGTGTGTGATGAAGATGTATGATGATGATGATGGTGTGTGTGTGTGTGTGTGTGTGTGTGTGATGAAGATGATGGTGGAGTGTGTGTGTGTGTGTGTGTGTGGTCCTCATGTGGGCAGGGTAAAGGTCAGCGGTCGTCCTGCTGGAGGGGGGTCTCTGATGCTCCAAATGTCAGGGGCTGCTGGGAATCAGCCGGCCGCTCACAGCACACACACTGACACCGGCCTCAAA